TTCGCACCAAATCTCGAAATGGAACAAGGATTGACGGTCTCGTTCGTAGGAATTTGTACGCTTAGTTTTTAACCTTGGACTGAGTTTGATGCGCACCATTGGTGTGTCCTGTAATTGAAGACCACAGAGGATCTGAAAGTGGAAGTGGCACAGTTGCGGCACCGAAATGAGGACTTGGAGGACCTCCTGGAGTTGCGTGGTGAAAACGAAAAGTACGTCTAGGCAGCGTTTCCTCTTCCGCTTTCCCACTTACACCGAGGCACCGACTAGGCTACCGTTTTTGTAACAAGGCATTGAGTGGTCAGGCCTTTTTCCTACTCCCTTAATTTTTAAATCACATGTTGTTTAAACCTCCTAATCTGCCTAATTTTGTCACGAATGTTAACCCGCACCAATTCAATGTCCTATTCGCTTTCCCTGTTGCGTTATGTTTCTTCTTCTTCTTCTAAAATCATGCTCCGATTTTCCTCCAAATTGTCTAGCAAGGGATTCCAACACGAAGTAATTTTCTGTGAAATGTTTCAAAAAGCTAAAAGCTGTGTTTGTCCGTGCCTGCTGCGCTGCTACCTTCCAGCTGTTGCCCAGCCGATTATATGGTCGGCTAAAGGTTTATACTAAAATGATTTTAGTGATATTTTTTATTTCAGACTACTAAACGGCCATTGTCAGACCTTACTCCACAACCTGAAGAAGGAAATAGAGGAAAAAAAGAAACTGAAGATTGACTGTGAGGCTCTCCGGTTCAAATTGCTCGACGCGTGTCACAAAATCGAACTCCAGAACGCAGCAAATGCTAGTGACGACGAGTGTCGGTGGAAGGATGGGTATGGCTTGAAGGACTGCACTTACATGTCCAGGTGAAAATTGCACCGTTGTTTTCAGCCTAACACTTGTACTTTTGCATGATTTCCTGCTTAACTTTCCAGATCTGTTTACTCTGACCATCGAGTGAAGAGCCCCTGTGCGCCCGCCAGCACACGCAGTTCACGGCCGATGTCGGAGCATCGGTGTGCATCTGTCGATGCGCGTGATCACTTCCCTGCCGGCTCCTTCATCTCCTCTGGTCCGTGGCTGTCGAACACGTCGGCGAGACGGTATCGGAGCCTGCAGCACGATCTAGGCAAACGGCGACCTTGAGCAGCATGATCTGCGTCCGTGATGATCAATCATGCCTTCGCCGTGTACATGCATATCAATGGATGCTACAGTGTGCTCTTAAATCTTCAGCGCTATTCTTTCATTACGAACTTGTGACAAGGTTGACACCACTTTTAAAATAACTGACAGAGTTTATTCATTGTGTCTCGCTATCTGTTTGGCGTCTGATTTGAAGGTGGGAAGTAGATATTACAAAGTTTGCATATCAATGACGCCGCATGTCGTGGTTAATTTTGGATGCCAGAAACTTGATTAAGACTGTCATGCGCTCAGGTTTGAATGATCAATTGGAGATCCAGACAGAATTTCGAAACAATTATGCTCGTGTGCCAGAATACGTTTTAGCTATTCTTCACCTTTCGGAGCTCTTGAATGTGCCCCATTCAATGGGGAGAGTGCTTGCAGCAACGAAATATACTAGGCACCATCACTAGCCAAAACAAAATCAGGTTATTTTCGCGTCTGCAAAGGATCGCGTTCGGGTGGTTGACTGTGTGTTTGGATTGACTAGGTGGGAGTTGGACGACCCAAGAAGGGAAGAGCATCGATTCCATCGGTCGAATAAAGCTTAAACGATGAACCGTGCCATGCTCTGACATAGTCTTCTCACCACCTAATGGATACATTCTCCAAACCTGTAATAAGTTCGCATCCGATTTAGCTGATCACAAGTTCATAGGACCCTAGGAATTAAACAGTCGCACAGTTGAACAGGGAAACCCGAACCGCAAGCTGCAAGACATTGGAGTGTGTTTGTTTCGGTAATAAGTTTTATTGGTGCAATTAGTTACAGGTGTGTCATGGATGTGTGGCACACTTGTTAGTGCGCACAATTGAGTCAACCTGAGGAAGCCATTGGCTTCGTGCGAGAGGTCATGGTTTGTTATCGGCTCATGTGGCATGCCAGGAACACATGTAGCCCTATCACGTCACCACCAGGCATGTAATTGCCATGCGAAAATGAGCATTTTTATTAAAGTACACAACATGGTCTACGAAGGCAGGTGTCTGATTCATTGGCCTTGTGACACCCAAGAACTTACTGAATGCCCGCCGCATTCAAACTGATTGAATTAATCCAAGTCGATCAATGAGGCACGGTTTGAGGTTTAATAATCTGCTTATTTACTTGGAAATTCGCGTTCTCCTCTAGCTTAGTCCTTTTGTCGAATTTGATGTGTTATGGAAGTGGTGCAAGCTTACATTTTACTGCTGTCGTGGTAGGAACACGTCGCATTCTTCGCCTACTTGTTCATCACTTGAACATGTGTTTAGAGTCCTTTGTTATTTAGATTCATTCCCTAGTGCATGAAACTCATGCTGGGATGAAGCCAAGTAACAGGTGAAACGTCAAAAACAAGAGATTCCCCAGTGGAATGAATATTTGCCTTTCCCTAGAATGTGGCCTAACCTCATAATAGCGCCTCGCCTTTTAAGGCCCCCTCATTAGGGCTTTTTGGTGAGGACTCAAACCGCCATCAAGCACGCATATGTCAGTCATTCTGACACGTTGATCGCTGCAACAGGTGACTGTCCAATAAACTGGGTTAACCGCGAGACCCTGACCTCTATCACAATCTCAAATTATTTCCGGTCAACAAAGTGCCATAAAGGTTGCAGAGAATCGGATGTCTTTTTGAGCTGTGTCATCACACCTGGGGCACCGTAACGTCCAGAGGTAATTATATGGACGTTCCTTCACTTGTGGTAGGAACCTCGCCAAGAATGCTAGTAACGCTGCATACAGGCATGTTCTCGCGGTAAAACGTCCACATTTATGTGAGAAGATTAGTGTAGCTGCTTCTTGAGATGCACATGAACACTTGTGCAACAGCAACTTAAATTACACAATGAATGTACCTAAAGTACTTGACTCGCACTATTGTATCAGTTTACTAAAACAACGGAACCAATGGAACGTAATTTGACTTCTACTCGGATTTTATTGCATTTTGTTTGTATCGAATTTGCTTTTCACGTAAATTGCAAAATGGGTCAATATGAGCTAGATATGTGGCAAATAATAACCCTATCAATGGCTGCTCTAAGTCAAAGGTATGTGAAACCGCATTTCTTGGCAATGAACAAACCACCCTACTGATAATTGACGTCTACTGAGCCCTGTCTGTTCATGTAGCTTGTTCACTGCTGGCTTGTCTCCGCTTATGACGTTGCAAGTTCCTCAAAATTGGGCGATGCAACGACGACGACGACGACGAAGAAGAAGAAGACACAGTTAGGAGCGGTGGGAAAGTGCACGGAGCGAGCACAAGGGCAGTGCAATACCCATGACAAGTCTGGATTCATGAGGAAGCAAGTCCACAGTCTGTGTTGGGTCCCGTGCTCCGCCGCCGATGTCGCCGTCGCTGCCTCCGCATTCTTCTCGTCTGTCTTGTTGTTGCGCTTGTGGTGGAAAGCGACAATTGGCTGAAATGTAGACACACTTGCAGTAGAGGGGAGAGAAAGAGTCGGCCCAAACTGCTTCACGCTCGACGTCATCGTCGCCACCGCCACTGTCGCTGCTGCTGCTGCCGCAGTTGCAGTCATTGATGCCGGAACACTACGTCGGGTGGTTGGATTGTGGTTGCCACTCGCCACCTCT